CCCCAAAACCCCAAAACCCCAAAACCCCTAAGTATATGTAATAATTGATTAAGAAATTAATATATATGCTAATTTTAAATATATCAAGTTTTATATTATGAAGAGTTTGTAAGATATGCTCTTTATTAGTTTCATCTTTACTATATTGCTTATTGGTCTTGAATTTTCATTTTATTAGAGCTGAGCTGATCTCTTACTTTTATTTTGTTCAAAATATCACCACTCTTTAAATGTATAACATTTCTCGGCCTTCTAAGTTTACTTATACTCTGATTGGTTTAGTTAGTAGAGGCTGTTACACCACTGCCCATTGTGGTGTAATTTTCTCCCAAAGCATTGATGTACTTTTAAGATTGATGCTTCAGACTTTGATTTATTTTTGTATTTTCTTGATTCCTTCCATTATTAATTGAAGGCAATTACAACTGTTGCTGCTAGTCAGCATTGATATAGCTATTATTTATGTTATTCATATTGATATTCATATTATTATTGCTGCTTCCATTGATATAGTTATTCATATTGATATTATTAGCTGATGTTACTAGGCTCAGGGCAGAAGTCGTGATATTGCTTCCGTAATTACTTTATATCTAATGCTGTTACTAATATGCTTATTACTATAGCTACTATTAGTATTGCTACTGCTATTTCTGCTGCAGTGAGAGTAGATTTGTAGGTCTTTGATATTTAGAGCCTAAGCGTTGAATAAAGTCTTTTTCAACAATAGGAATTCTCAATTAGGGTATAATGACTTTATTGTTAATTTGAATCTTTCTTTACTAAGGTGAAAGTGTTGGCTCTATCATTGATTAGTTAACTTTCCTATAAGCTGCGTTATCCTCATCCAAATCAATTAGGTTAGAGATAAAGTCATCATTATCAAAATTGAACTTGCTTTAGATTATCACTGATAAATCTAGCACCTTTTTGTACTGGTCTTTTAAATCCTTAATATCATTTTTCCTCCGAGTATTTAGTCCAGTTGGCTGCATTGTCTCAGGATTAATAGATCTCCTTGATTTTAGAATTTAAGGACTGTTTACCTCTTGCTTATCTAATGCACTTACTCTCTCCTCTTTAGAAGTGATAGCCCCAGAATTATCATCACTCATATTTTATTGATTTTAATAATCTTTAGTAGCAGCCTCAAGTTGTGATCTGGAGTTTGATGTCTACGAGATATTTTATTTTATCCTTGCTCTATGCATTTTACTCTATTTAGACTTTGATCTTTCTAAAGACCTAATAGACATGTTTGGAATGTCGAGTCCATTTAACATGAAACTACTATCCAATTTAGATTTAGGAGGGACAGATCTTTTTGGCTTGTTCATTAGAAACTGTTAATCTCTCATCTTGATTCGTGACTGCAGCTAACTTGATACAGGATTATTTAATTAGCTCTGTTAAATCATTGGAGATTAATCTCTCATAGGATAGTCAGGCATCATATCTTGTTTGGTAATATTCTACTGTGTTTGATTTATTAATGGTAAGTGGTCTCAACTAGAGTTTTCATTCAGCTTAACTCTTACGACTGATGATATCTTCTTCTTGTAGTTATCTTTATAAAGGAATGGCTTGAATGAGTATTCTTGCTTTGCTGAATTTAGCTAGTTTTATTAGGATATTGATTCACCCAGAAGGTCTTGAAATTTTTGCTATCTATCTTTGATGCCAAAAGCAAGAGTAAATCCTTTTATCTTTTTTCTATATTTAGAAGGATCGTGGACCTCAATGACAGTGTCTGTTGCATACTTGTACAAGCATTATTCATCCTCGTTACTTAGCTTCAATTGCTATTCCTCAGCTTTAATCTTTTCAAGTCTGGATTTGAGCTACTGAGCCTGGTCTTCATTGCTCTTGCCTTCAGCATTCTCGTTTTTATTCTGGTTTTAAACTTTTAAGGCCTATTTTATTTCCTTAAACTCCTTCTAGCATTTATCTATCTTTACCTAGTTAAGCTCTTTCATCAACTGAACAAGAGCTATCTTGAAGTTGGTAAAGTACATCTCTCTCGAATATACAGCTGTCTTCTTGAATATTTTCATGATTACCTCCTTGGAGAGATTGATCGAGAAGTCTTTGCAAAACTTAATGAATTCTCCTAAATTAAGATTTCGAACTTCTTTCTTTATATCATCAAAAGTTGGATTCTTGCCGATCAATACATGCTATCTGCAATAAATTAGGAATATCTCTTAAAGATTTTGCAGCTTCTGCTCCTCTGGACTTAAGTTACTCATCTTTTTCCCATCTAATAATAGGTCTTCCTCAACAAAGATTTAAAACTGATTTTCATCTTTAATTAGCATAATCTGGTCCCCCTTATTGTCTAAGTTTTCATCTCTCTAGGGAGATTCAATCTGACTAGATTCTTCAATTCTCAGCTAAGACCCATTTGTGTGAAACTATGAGCCTAAATCTTCTTCATTTAACTGTTATTTGAGTCGTTAGATCACATTAAGCATCATCTATTTGTCATCCTCATCCTTATAATGCTAAAGATCTATTATCTACTGATACTATATTATTGTCTGCTAAATCACCTCTCTAATCGACAGTCCTTAATTCTAATTTTATTTCTGTGGACTGAAATTACTCTCATTGCTTGAATCTTGGTTTAGCATGAAAAGTCCATCATCTAGCGTAATGACTTGTTCTTATTCTTCAGACTCTTCTGCAAAGTACTAAATATTACCGAATCTAGGGGAAGGAAGTTGAATTATTGGGATAAACTCTTTTATGAATTCGCTTATATTTTCTTTGGGTTCTTCAACTTCATCTTAGAAGTTATCATCATCGTAATTATCATTTTAACTTTCACTTGATTCTTTATCAGATTCTGACTTCTCGTCTTAATTACCTGTCCATTCCTCATTATATTCTGCTTCATATTCTATCAATCCTGTTTTTGAGTTTTCTAATTGTATAGACTTAGGAGGGGTCTCAGGCTTTTTCCTAATGTCCACCACTTCATAGAGAGCATGCAGATCTTTAGTAAATCTGTCAGTTAAAGTTATTATATCCTCAATAGCAAACATGATCGTCTAATCATTGATAAATTGCGACTTGAACTTTTCCTATATGTATTCGAACAACTTGTCTAAAACCTCAATCTCCTAATCATCGCTTTAACTGTCTTTTGACTTGTCTACTAATAAGATCTCAATGACTTGCATCATCTCTGCAAGAATAGCTGGAAGCGAGTCTAAATGAAACTGTCCAGCATCATTTTCACTGTAAGACTTGCCTAACTCACTAAAGTAGTTTTATCATTCAATGATGATCTTACTCTAATTGAGCCATTTTTTCTGCGCATCTTTCTTTAAACAGATTCGACTTTTTTCTATGAGAGTTTTCAGACTCTGCAGAAGACAATTAACTAGAGCTGAATATGATTAATAGGTAAGTTAAAATAGAATTTAATGATGTGGATAGAGTAACATACCTTTTCTCCATATGCAATTAATGTGAATAATAAAGCAAAATTAAATATTTTTAAATTAATATTATTATGATGCTTAATCTCTTTAATTTCGATCACGGAAGTCTTCAATCTAGTTCAGTTAATTGCGATCTATAAATAGATTTTAGGTGTCTCTTCTATTCTAATGAGAATCTTCAGATAGAAAGTTCTTGTCATTGTTTCGCTGATTGGCATTAGATTTAGGGACTATCTTTCTGCCAAATCCAAAGCTTTTATCATTCATATCATCAATGACAGTTATGTTATTTGCATTTAGATTATTTAGATTGATTTACTAATCTGCTTTGTTAGTAATGGAACTATTATTTTGCTTGATTGCAGGAAGAACAATCCGATTAGATCCTCTAGAATTCACTGACTTATATCTCGCTGCACTTGGCTGATCTACGTTATGTTCATCAGTGTATGTTTGGAAACTCTTAATATTCAGATTTGATACATTTAGAGGCTTTTTAATATTTCTTGGCAGAAGACTCTGTACACTATTTTCATTTATTCCATCAAAAGTGTTATTAGTATAAGGATTGTCTCCATCAATATCCTCAGATAAGTTTCTTTGAGACATGTCACTTTAGTTATGATTCCTCGACAAGAATTTTTAGTTAAAGAATTTAGCTAGGTTGTCCTTTAGATTTTCTCTTTTTTCTCTAAGCTTTTTCCTTAAGTTAATCCTAAACTGATAATCTTCATCTAATAATGTCCTCTTATCAACTCTCTTACTATATAGATTCTCTCCTGGATTCAGCTTAATATATTTCTGAGGCATTATCTTCTAAAGTATTTTCCTTAATTTAATTGCATTGAAGTTTATATTTGCTTCCTTATTGTTAACATTGTTGATATTTATAATCGATCTTTTGTTTTAGCCTAAATTTATAGTCATTTCCTAAGCTGGCTTATTAAGTAGTTTTGATATGGGGTAGCAACTAAACTAACCATATATATTAGTCATTATATTACTGCTTATCTTCTGCTCATTGGACTTTGCTTTGCTTTACTATATAAAGTGGTGCTTAAGTATTTGCTTAAACTAATTGAAATCAATAAATGTGCCCATTGTTGAGTACTTTTTAAACAAGAACTGTATCTTTTATTTGCTCATGGCTATATTGTATTGCTTCAGAATCTTAATTAGATCTCTCAAGTTTAGGCATTCATAACCTTGCGCTAGTCGATCAAAGGTTTGATGGTGGCCTGCAACATTGCTACTGGATTTAGCAAACTTTACAAATATTTCTCTCATACTTTCATCAGCTAATATCATCTCTTCTTCAGAAGTAAACATTTCTCCAAATCTTTAATCTTCTTCTTAGAAATTGATCTATTAAGTCTATGTTCTGTTGAATTCATTTTCACTAGGCTAACGAGGAGGAGTTTCAAACAACTTATTCCTTCCACTTGTCTTGACAGTTGTCATTTTGTTTTCCTCTTCTATTTATAGCTACTGTATATCATTTAATGATCTAGATATTCTTAATGGCTTAATATCTTGAACAATCTTCTTAGCCTGATTAGGATTCTTAACATGAATTGGTCCTGCATATAGAATATCTTTTATTGGCTCATTGAAACTAAGATTCAATGATTTATCAATAGATATCGTTCCTTTAACTGCTTTAACTTTTGTAATTTCAATTAATTTTTGATTTTATTTTGACGTTTCAATAGCTTATTATAGATTACTTCTACCAGAGGTATTTGATTAAACCGATTAATTTGATTCAATTTTTATGAGTTCCCTTTTAATTTTGATTGAACTTTATCTGCTGGCTAATGACTAAGTACTTTGCTTTCTACTTACCTATGACGATGAATTTCTAGATTAGACTTAGGAAGCTTAAATGCTATTAATTTCATCTAATCCAATGAATTGCTCTATATCTTAATCATCTTGCATTTAAATCTAACTGAAGAAACCATTCAATGGTTATAAAATGCAAAAGCAGTCTTTAGAGACTTATCTTTTTAGTTACTACCCCTGATCAAATAATTCATAGATTGATTTTGGCTAAGAAATCAAATGTATTTCATTCTCGAAAATTATCCTATTATCGTCAATACCATCTGAATTCCTATCATGAATTTCAAAGGCAGCTTATATTCGTTGAATGTATATAGAATTTTCATTCATAAATTTCTCATCATCATTCACAAATCCAAAACTTTAAGATTTATTGTGTTGATCTATCACCTTCATTTCATTCAATTCAGCTTCATAAATTTGATCTTAAATTTTCTCAAGCACAGGTTTAGTTTTCTAAACAATAGAAATTTCATCTTACTATAATTTCTTCAGCTCTAACTAATTAATGGGAACATAGTAAGCTTTATTAGGTTTCATCCATTACTCGTCATAAAGTCTTACATCACTTATATATTCAAATACTCCACTGTATTTTTGCTACACTCCTAGAAAAACTTCGTTCTATTCTATTTCATAAACCATTTCAAAAGTTATATCTTCCTGGAACGAATTTATTAGCGTCACATCTCTAGCAAGCTTCAGCGTTTCATCTTCAAAGTTGTAATAATGATCTTTACCATCTACCTTTGCTTCCTGACTTGGTACTTCTATAGATTATGTTAAGTGATTTTCTTCTTATTTCTAATCGAACAATGCAGCTTTTGAAGGATCTTAGTCTTATGTATTTTTCTCAATATAAAGACTTCCGTCTGTTACTTTCACTTCTTGATTCAGATGATATGCTACCCCCTATCTCTCAGTTTATTCTTATTTAAGTTCCTCTCCTTCCTGCTCATCCTCTTCATTTTCTTCTTCAGTGTCCTCGCCTTCTTCGTCACTTTCCTCATTGGTGTTTAGAGCCTCATAAGAACCCTCTCCTCTTCGAATAAATGTCGCTATAAGTGCGCATACTTGTTGAACAGTCAAAATTTCCAGTTTCTTTTAAACACAGAATTCTCTTGAGAGATCACCAATTTGTATAACTATATCCTTTATAGAGACATTTTCATCAGGACCTTCAATCACAAACCCTGCTATTTTCATGATTTTGGCAATAGATTACTCTACTATTTTTGGGTTAATTCCAGCCTAATCTCCTCCCAATTCTTGTCTAAGAAGTAACAATAAACTGATGTAATGGTATTTACTTTATCTCTGGCCCATATTTGGAGTATTTATACTTAAGGAGGTCTAGAGATTCCTCCATAATCTCCTATGGATCGAGTTCCTCTTCTTCATTGGACTATTCACTCTCATCTCCCTTCTTAGTGCCAAAATTTTCCTTATCTTAACTCATTTATGCTTTTTAATGGATCAAGTAAAAAAATATAAAATTATTATTAAAAGTATTGATTTAATGACTTTAATTATAATTTGATTGATTTTTTATCGTTGGTTGGGGTTTTGGGGTTTTGGGGTTTTGGGG